TCAAGTGACTTAAAATCCTCTACGGTAGATTAATTGTTGTACAAGCAAAATAGGCTGATCTGGCATTGACAATGTGCAACAAAAGGTCAAGAAGGTTTGAAGAAGAATGATTGCATTTCAAATGACGGACCAGGAAATACTTTGTGGGGAGGAGAACATTGAGGACTGGGGAGGTGTTTGAGAGGCAATGGAGCAGAGAAGATTATCCCTATGTTACATTCAAGGAAGCCGAAGCTCGCAGAGCTGTGAGCCTTGTCCAGAGCTTTGCAACTGATTATTGGTGACATCAGAAATACAGGGAATGTCTTTTAGGAGCCAGAGAGAAACTAGAGGGAAAATGTGAATCAAAGGAACGGCAGAGTAAGCATGGAGAGAAACCAGAACTTCCATGTGGAGACAGTGAAAGAAATAGAAATAAATAACTGTGGAGCCAATGGTATTTTTCTCTCTTCTGCTTTAGAGAAAGTGACAGTGTCTTCCTTCCATCTAACCCTCCTTCTTTGTTTTTGAATCAGCCCCAAATTTATTGCTATTTAAAATCTAAGTCATGTTAACTACCAGTCTCTTTAGAAATTACATTTTGGCCTTCAGAAAACTTATACTTTTTTGTATTGAATCTTACACACTGAATATTATTATTGCCGAGAATCTACGTTGTGTGGCTGTGTTTATTTCTAGTGCTTACCTGGTTGTCAGGCTACCAATCATATACCAATCGTAGTGTTTAGGTCATTGGATGTTAGCGATATACTTGTGGGTCCATGTACATGACAGTTCATGTGAGAGTTTATTTGCATTTTGGGGTTTAAAAAATTCATAAATTCGTTTAACTCCATTTTTGTCACTGTTAGGAATTGCCTTTATTTTAATTTTCCCACTTCCTTTTCCTTTAGTTTTAGCTGAAGAAATTTTTTTTTTTTTAATGAGAAAGATCAGCCCTGAGCTAACATCCATGCCAATCTTCCTCCTTTTTTTTCCCCCTTTTTTCTCCCAAAAGCCCCAGTAGATAGTTGTATGTCATAGATGCACATCCTTCTAGTTGCTGTATGTGGGACACCACCTCAGCATGGCCGGACAAGCGGTGCATGGGTGCGCGCCTGGGATCCGAACCCGGGCCACCAGTAGTAGAGCACGCACACTTAACTGCCAAGCCACGGGGCCGGCCCCTGAAGAAAAATTTTAATGTAAATCAAACATGTCCAAAAGTGTCATCCATGGTTGTATTCTCCGTAACTTTCACTTCAGTATTAGATCTATTAAATTTCACTTCCTTTCTATTCCCTACTTGGAATGTATAAACCAAGTCTGCCTCAACTCCAAAAAAGAAACAAATAAAATTAATTTACCCTTTCAAATGGAAGATATTGGATTTTCAGATGCTCTTCTAATTATAGTCAAATTTTCTGGATGTGGCCATAAGGGACATCATAAACTCTGATAGCCTACTCTTACTTGCATCTCCACAAGTTTAACTTTCCCTCTTGGTTCTCTCCATATATATATACTTTTTGACCTCGTAAGACATCAAGTTCCTTTGTTTCTCCATTCTTATCCCTGTCCTAGCCCCTTTTCCTGCCCTTCCTATCTGGACGCCAAGCTAGTCTTCACCATTTCCTCAGTTCTCTGGTACCAACAACCTATCCAGTGAAACAATGGTAATAGTGCATTATTTGTTTTTCTCCTCCCTACTCTCAGGTGGTATGAACTAGAAAGCATCACAGAAGTGTGCAAGTTGAGTCTGTGGCAAATTCATGTTTCCTAACCTCACCCACATTTCTAAACCTTCATCTTTTCCTCCAACTAGCCGCTCAATGCCTTATTCCCTCATTCTCATCAGATAACTTTGCCCTTGCTTCATCAAGAAAATTGAGGTGGTCAGGCATGACCTCTGTCTTCTATAAACACATTTACATCCACATGTAATTTTGTCTCCTTTATTTCATCCTGGAATGAGGAGTTTAAGGCTTTAAGTTCAAGGCCATCTTCTCTGCCTATGCCCTTGACCCTTTCTTGTTGCCTCTTCTAGGACTTTCCTCCCTGCTATTCCCTTTCTTTCCGATATCTTAAATTTTTCTCTCTCTTCACTGGCTCCTTCCTATCTGCTTTTTCTCTTTAAGTATAATTCAGGTTCTTCTCATCGAAATATATCAAACTTACACCCATATTTACTTCTCAAACCACTGAAATTACCTTTGTGACTTCATTGATCTGTGGAGAGTGTTAGTGACAAGGTTGCCAATGATCTCTTCAGGTCAAACCTAGTAGGTATTTTTCAGGTCTTATCTTCCTGGATCCCTCTGCCACATTCAACACTGTTGATTTTTTAAAAAAATGTTTCCCTGGGCTTCTAAGATGCCATGAACTTCTCAGTGCCTGTTAGTTATTAGATTCCCCAAGTAGGGCCCCTTCTCTTCTCATTGCACCTGCTCTGCATGGGTCATTATATCCACTCTCATGGCTTCATCTTCACCCTATGGTGAGGATTTCTGTTTTTAAACTGACCCATTCCTCTTCCCAGAGTTTGAGGCTTATTTAACTCTCTGCTTCACTTTTTATGTATTCCATAGCTACTTCAAACTCAACAGAACTCATCATCTCTCTTTTTTCTCCAAGCAAGACCTTCAAACTGTATTTACTGATTTAGGTAATCATCAACTACTCAGTCCAAGAAAGCTGGAAACTTGAAGTCAACCTTGACTCTTCCTTCTCCCTCCATCAGTAACATAAACAATATCTGATTTAGCCTTCTCACTAATAATTGGATTTGTCCCCTTCTTCTCCATCCTCTCTTCTGCTATCATCCTATTATCTTACCTGGACTGGTACAACAACCTCCTAAATAACCACTTTGCCCATAAACTGATATGCTATAAATCCTTCCTCCACACAACTTCCGGATTTATCAATATAAAACATTCTGACTGTGTCAATCTCATGCTTCAAATCCTTTAATCTTGTAGAGGTAGATGCCCTAATCCACACATGTGGTAAAAAATTGTATAGAACTAAACATTCACACACACACACAAATGAGAACAAGTAAAACCGAGAACTTCTGAATAAGATCAGTGGATTACATCAACGTCAATATTCTGGTTGTGATATTATATGGTAGTTTTGCAAGATGTTACTTACCATTGGGGGAAACTGGACAAAGGATACATGGATTCTCTGTTTATTATTTATTACAGCTGCATGCTAATCTACAATTATTTCAAAATAAAAAGTTCATTTAAAAATATCTTGGAAAAAATATCCTTTAATACTCACTGGAGGTATTGAAGTATTTAAGCTTTTTTTTTTGACATATCATACAAGTTTCTAGTTCCCTCTCCAGCTTTATTTCCAGCATTTTCTGCCCCCAATTTTTACACTGTACTAACATAAAGTTGCTTGTAATGTTCTCACATACATGAAGTTATTTTCCATTTTAGGATCTCGTTTATGCTATTGCCGTAGACTGCTCACTCCGCACCATTAGTCTTTACGTGGCCTGGCTAATGTCTCCTTTATTATTTAAAACTCTTTTCTTGTTCCCTCAGATGAGATGAAATATTTCATCTTTGTGCTTTTATAGTGTTATACACACTCTTACTACATTTGTTAGAGGTGTGTTTTCCTGTCTTACCATCTATACCATGACCTTCTAGAGGGTGAGACAGTCTTATTTACTTTTTACTTCCACTGCCCATTATACGTCCTGACAAATAGTAAATGCTCTATATATGTCTGATTTGAGTATATGAATGTGCTTCTTCATATAGCTAGGAAATCATCAACAATAAATCCAGTGCTATTATCTTGTATTATGTAACTAGACCAGAGCATTCATTTGCAAATTTAAGATGATTAACTATCTTAGTACACTATTTATTTATTTATTTATTAAACAATTATTTATTTATTTATTTTTTCCCCCAAAGCCCCAGTAGATAGTTGTATGTCATAGTTGCCCATCCTTCTAGTTGCTGTATGTGGGACGCGGCCTCAGCATGGCCGGAGAAGCGATGCGTCGGTGTGCGCCCGGGATCCGAACCAGGGCCGCCAGCAGCAGAGCGCACTTAACCGCTAAGCCACGAGGCTGACCCAGTACACTATTTATTTAACTCTTTATAATACTAACAGTAATGATTAAGAGCTTAGCTAATTTCATCTTGGGGTAAAATTAATCTACTGATAATCACAATGAATCACATACTAAGATGATCTATGCAGATAATACACAGATTTGGAGAGAGCGTCACTCAAGAAAGCTGATGTTTTCCTTCACATACATGGGGATCAAGATTAAATTTTTTTTTAAGTAAAGGCAAACTTTACAATCCTGCAGCAAAATGAAGCAAACAGACATAGTATTTCTTTGCAGCGTATTCAGTTGTTTGCTTATCTCTAGTCTAACGTAGAATTCTACACTCCAATTAAAAACCACCCACACACATTAAGGTGAGTAACTGGTGATTAAAAAAAAAAATCTAGGTCCAGAGGTTTGAGTTCATTGTTCCTGAGCGTGATGCTAAGATGGTAGTTATGAGAGGAGTGATTATGCTGAGGATGAAATTTAAGTTTTCTGAACTTGTTTCTGTTTTCTGATTCTACTTTTTACCTGCTGGAGGCTGAATGGGCAGATAATCAGTTGAGACATTTATAAAAAGGGTTTAATAATAGGTCAGACTTGCTATCAAACTTAATGAGGGAATGTTTATTTTCTTTTTGAAATCTGCAGAATGTAGATGTTGGATAGCGGAAGTGTAGAGCGTAACAACATTTTTAGTTAAGAGAGAAGAGCTTTGATAGAAGACTTGATTGTCTGATTTCATGGCAAAATGGGATCCATGCCACTGCCCAAAGAAACATGAGTTGTGCAACTTGTAAAATTTGCTGGATATACCTGCATGACTTCGAAGATTCGCTTGATTTTTTTTGTTGATCAAGTATGCTCTAATAGTCAGTATCAGGAATACAGAAACTATAATCTTAGTTTCATTTTTGTCTTTTTTAAGGTTCGTAGAAACCCCAGCTCATTTCTCTTGGAAAGAAAGTTATTACCGATCCACCATGTCCCAGAGCACACAGACAAGTGAATTCCTCAGTCCAGAGGTTTTCCAGCATATCTGGGATTTTCTGGAACAGTAAGTATCAAATAAGTAAAAAGTGTTGTACTTGAACTATTATAAATAGATAAATGTGGATGGTCAAAATATTGCTTATGAGGGCGTGTTTCTAGAATCAATAAAAATCAGTTAATATTGTTGGGAAAAATTTATTCCCTCAAATAGTACCACTGTGTTTAAAATTCAGTAGAGATTTATTCAGTTTCCAACACCAAAAGATCATTATTATTCCAGGGTAGTATAATAATGTATAATTTTCTCCTTTCTAACCCAAAATAACTTCCTCAATGACTCCCTGATACTCAAAATCTGTTCCTTTGGCTTAAACACTCCTATTTACTGTTACAATGCAAATACCCCCTGAGAAAGTAAAACACTAAATTTTGTTGTTCATTTATGCCTTGCTGGGAAAAGGATTATTGTCTCCTTTCTTAAGATCAGGTTTGGATAAGTGAGTAAATTAAAGGGAAGATGAAAGAATATCACAGCACTGGGGACCCTATCGGTTACAGTATAAAATAGTCCATCACTGATACATCCCTTCTGTCCTGTATTCCACCCAGCAATTCTTTGATGAGAGCAGGGATCGTGATTCCCATTTTACAAATAGGATTTAGATTTGAAGTGCTCGAGATTACACATCTGGTAAGTGGTTGAGCCAGGATTCAAACATAGGGTTTCTGACTCCAAGCAGCGAGGCCTGCCAACTTTGAAGCAGAAAGAGCTCATTGTTACCAACAGAGGGAGTATGTTTTAGTCCCTTTCCATGCCTAACACACTTTTGTTTTTTCTTTATGGTAGGCCAATTTGTTCAGTTCAGCCCATTGACTTGAACTTTGTGGATGAGCCATCAGAAAATGGTGCGACAAACAAGATTGAGATTAGCATGGACTGTATCCGCATGCAGGACTCGGACCTGAGTGACCCCATGTGGGTGAGTGGCATGGGCTTCCCCTTTCATCTGTAGGCCATGCTATCCACACCTTTGTTACACCTGTCTTTTTCATGGCATATCAAAAGATAGGTGGCTCTGAATGGGCAAGGCCATTGGAAAGTGAGTCAATGTGGTGAGCAGAGAAGAATATTAGAAACTTGTGGATTCTGGGTCTGCCTCAACCCTCCATGATGTGTATGTTTCCACTGGTGTCGGCAAGGGGGTTGGAAATAATTTCTTATACTCTTTATTTGAATTGCTCCTCATGTCTATCTTGATTTAGAGAGGATGGTACCTGCCCAAAGTTTTACAGCTGGTGGAGACAGAGTCAGAACCCGAGTCTAGATCTGAATTCTTTCAAAGCACTTTCCACTATGGCAAAACACTTCTCTCATGGAATTATCCTTCTTGAATGAAGGAGGATGAAGAAAATTCCATATGAACACAGATTTAAGTACCTAGTAATAAAGTTAGAGGAAAGAAGATAACTAATACATAAAATAGGCTTTTTTTCACTTTACCACTGAGTTACTCATGACCTTCGGCCTCAGTTTCTCATCTATAAAATGGTCACACACCTCCCAGGCAGCTAAGGAGTATAATGGGTTAATGATGGTAAAACACTTTTCTGAGCTGTTTCGATGAAATTTCCTGTATTTGTGCTGTCCATAGTGCTGGTGGGTTTTCTTTTCTTTCCTTTTTTTGTTTTAAAATCATTCATTCACCACACAAGTTCTGTTGCTTTTTCTATAAAAAAAATAATTCTAGAAAAATAGAACAAAAGGAACTAGAAAGAGAAGGGGGTGTCATAGAGTGTCTGCTGCTGTGATTAAAGAGAGTGCTTTATAAAATGCCTCACATTTTTTGGGGAGAGGACCAAATTTATTTAAAGGAATGGTACAAATGCAAGTACTTAAGTAAGTGTTTTGGTATGCCTTGCCTTTCTTGTCTAATATAAAATTTTACTGGAATTTTCACTATATACTCTTTGATATAGATTGTATTTTTTAATATTGGGAGAAGGTGAAGTGAAGAAAAGGGAGAGGAAGCAACCAAAAATATAAAGTTGTAACTTTGTAAACACAGACGGTCCCCAACTTATGATGGTTCAACTTACGATTTTTCGACTCTTTGATGGTGCGCAAGTGATATGCATTCAGTAGCAACCATGTTTCAATTTTTGAATTTTTGTTTTTCCCGGGCTAGCAATATGCAGTGCAATACTCTCTCGTGATGCTGGGTAACAGCAGCAGCCACAGCTCCCGTAACCACGTGATCATGAGGGTGAACAACCAATACACTTACAACCATTCTGTACCCACACAACCAATCTGTTTCTCAAATTCAGTACAGTATTCAATAAATTACATGAGCTATTCAACACTTTATTATAAAATAGTGTTTGTGTTAGATGATTTTTGCCCAGTCTTAAGCTAATGTAACTGTTCTGAGCACATTTAAGGTAGGCTAGGCTAAGTTATGGTGTTTGGTAGTTTAGGTGTATCAAATGCATTTTCAACTTACCATAGTTTCAACTTATGATGGGTTTATCAGGATGTAACCCCTGTGTACTGATGATTTGTCATCAAATTGATGAGGGAAATATAACATTTCTTCATCAGCCCCTTCCATTCTAATACAGAAATAGTTCTCGATTATGCTTGAGCTAGTAAAAGGAAACTGATTGATAAATTCAAGGGGCAGGTCACTCAAAGCCTTGGAATGTATTCTCATTAAACATAACTGTGAGTAAATTCTGATCTGACAGTGATTTAGAAATTAGGATATCCTCAACTCAATAATATCACCTCTTAAGTGGGTAGGTTTACCTAGGCTGGTGCTGCTCATCTTTTTAAATTCTCTCCAGGGATTTTCTGTTCTGACTCTTGGACTCATAAAAGCAAGCAAAGGTTATAAAATTTAAATCGGAGAATCAAGTTGTTTCATTTTCAGTTCCTATTATTATTATTTTTTTACATAATGAAGCATGTGGTTTCTTAATGTGCCATGCTGTTTTTTACTTCTTTGTTTTATTAGAAATTTTCTTCTTGAGAACATCCCATTTTTTTCTCCTCTCTAGCCAATTCCTATCCATCCCTCAACACTCAGTTTGTCCCACCTTCTCTGGGAAAACTTTCCATACCATTATTCTCCACCAGTCCGAATTAGAGACCACTCACTCTGAAGTAACCTAGGTATACTTTTAGTCATATTACTTATTATACAATATTACAGTGGTTTGTTTCTCTGTCTCTAAAGGGGACAGGGACCATATTTTGTCATGCTCTGTATTTGTTAGTGTTCGGCACAAAGTAGGCCCCCAGGAATTTTTGACGTCATAAGAAATGAGACTTGGAAGTTATCTAGAAAGTCAGAAAGTTTTCTTTCAAGCAGCCCTGTCCTGTAGAACTTTCTTTCAATGACGGAAATGTTCGATATTCTGTATTGTTCAACAGAGTAGCCACTAGCCACATGTATCCTCTGGGCATTTGAAATGTGGCTAGTGCAAATAAGGAACTTAATTTTAACTTGAGTTAATTTACATTTAAATTGCCGCATGTGGCTAGTTGGTAATGTATTGGGTAGCACCGCTCTCGAATATCTCCAATCTGGGGGCCATTCTTGGTTTGAACATTCACAGCAGCAGAGCTTCCTGTCCTGTCTGCCTCTTGTATTCCTTCCCTTTTCATGATGCTGTGTCAGTGTAGAAAGTGTTATGCTTTTTAGGTCATTTCTTTATTTCCATCATTTTCCTAATTCTCTTTGAAAGTACCCAGATTTACTATTTGAGCTCTAAAACTTCTGTCGTTTAAAGTCCATTTTGTTGCTTTCACAAAATGGCTAAAGGAAACTTTGCAGAACACTTAGTGGAGTATCTGAGAAAGAGTCAGGTAAGTTACACAACAATGTTAGAAGAGGGTTAAGAACAAAGAAGGAGAGAAAGCCAAGAAAATGCATAGATATAATTGCTTTTGTGATAACTGCCTTGTTTAGCTAAGAAGACACTGCCTTATGTTTTCTAGGTTATAATTATTTAAGAAATAATGATATTGAAGAAGATTATCCGTTTCTGTTCAACATTTTTTTCCTGACCATCAGTTATTAATATATACACTTGATGTTGAGTCTTTGAAATAGATTTTTAATAATGCTTATTAGAGAAGTGACCTGATAGAAACTGAGAGTATTCAATTTGAGAGTGATCCAGATTTTTGTGTTAGATGGCTGAATTACAAATTTTTGAAACTACATTTTTCCTAGGCTTCAATATTTGATGATGATCTGGTGTTTTACCCATCTGATATTTTATTTAATCTTTCCAATAACTTTGTGAGGTAGAAATTATTATCCTTGTTTTATAAATTAAGTAAATCAAAGGAAAAAGAGGTTGAATAACTTTTCTAGGGTGACATGTGTAGTCAGCAGCAATGTCAGCATTGTACCCACATTACTGGACTCGATCTTTTCTTTTCTCATTCTTCCTGCAAGTATTGTATTTGAGAGGAACTTGAGCTCTAGTTCCTATTCTTTTTTTTTTTTTTTTTCAAATGAGGTTTTGCAATCCAATCTCTTATTTTTTTTTTGGCAGAGAAAGAGTCACCCATAGCTAAAATCTGTTGCCAATCTTCTTTTTTTTTTCCCTCCCCAAAACCCTGGTACATGGTTGTACATCCTAGTTGTAAGTCGTTCTAGTTCTTCTATGTGAGCCACCTCCACAGCATGGCAACTGACAGATGGATGAAGTGGTTCCGTGACTGGGAAGCAAACCTGGGCCGCCGAAGTGGTGAGCATGGAATTTTAACCACTAGGCCATCAGGGCTGGCTTGAGCTCTATTTCTTCTTGAATATCTCTTTTTCTGTGAACTTTAGGGGTCCCTGTGTGGGGAAACCCCCACCTTTCCCTCAACAGAGAGTCTCCACACTTTCCCCTCCTCTGGAGAGGCACCGGACGTTGGTAATTAGGAATGATGAAACAGAGTTCTACCATCACTTATTAGCACCTTTGAGCTTGAAATTGTTTACCAGATTAAACTGAGGTAACCATAATTCAGGAAAAATGACCCAGGATAGAAAAACTTGCAAGGAGTGGGGGATTTAAGTGATTCAGAAAAAGCTGGAAAACCAAATGAAATGGGGTTTTGCCAGTGGGGAAAACAAAATAGGTGAGTTGGAAACAACTGTATTGAAAAGAATATACAAGTAGAGTGAGAATGAGCTTACCTATCTAAAGAAACAAACTTGCCTGTCTGTGGCTGCCCTGTTTTTATCTCCAAAGAACTGAGACATTGCTAATAAATTATGATTCTGTATGAATCCTGGGTCTTCCCTTGGCTTAGGACCAATCAAAATCCTCGTACATATCCACATGTGAAAGCCACATAGAGGGGACTAGATAACAACATAGTCCTCGGCAACAGGATTGGCAAAATGGTGGGCTTGCTCAAGATGTTGTAACTAGTGTTCTGGTTTGGAAAGCAAGAACTAGCATTCTCTGAGATGACTAGTCCCTCTAAACTGACAGCTACTGTAACTGATGTGAGGCTCTTTTCTTCCATTACTTGGTAGCACATTTTCACTTTTCTGTGTATAGGTAAATAGCTAAATAGTTCTAAAACTTGGCATATAAATTACTTTCCTCTTGCATATAATATAAAAAAAATTTGGAATCTCAGCCAAGCATTTTCTCACCATGCAAGAAATATGAATCTGTGGGCATGAAACGACATGTCAGATTATTAAGGGCAGAAATCTTGAAATTGAGACTGTCGTCCCGTTTTTATTGATTTTTGATACAACCTTCACCTTACCAGCTAGTCATGAAATGGCATCAAAATGTTTTGCTCTGATTATTAACAAAGGAAATTTGAATTGCAGAGAGTGTGTGTGCCTTCTTCATTAGAATGATTTTAATGTCACTGAAAAATGAACTGCATTGGATTAGCAAATGAAGGTGAATGAGATTTCTCAAAATTATCATAATTTAGCCTGTGTTTCCAAGA